GGTTGGTTTTACTGGGTCGTGGTAGACATTAGTTGCCCCTGCCCTGGCAAAACCAAAACAAACCAACCCCTCCCTGTTCGACACTGCTGGCTTTACTCTGGAGACTTCTCTCCTGGGTTTTTCTCCGTGTTCCCCCGGCAGTTTGTAGCCGCTTCAGTAAAGCTGCGCAAGTTAGGGTAGCAGTGACCCTGGAATTGGCACTGGGGCTTCCTGACGGAGCTTGCAGGTCTCGCCAAAGTGCGGGGTTTCTGACTTGACGCGTAAACAGTTGAGGACAGCGGGTCAGAACGGGGCGAAGGGTGGTTGGGAGCTGGAGAACGTGAAGCCGTTGGCGTGGAAGGAGCGGGCTGCTCCGGCTGGCAGACGGCTTTGCTGAGCCCTTGCTGCACAGTGAGGCTTTTTGGTTCCTCCTGGTCAAGCTTCCCAGTGCTGTCGTCCGACCCGGTCCAGCATTGGTTTGTATGTGTGCAGTAGTTTGGGCTCTCCTGAGCAGCAGTGCGGCTTTACGGTTCTTAAACACTGGCTCACAGCCTGTACTGTCTGCAGCAGGAGGAGAACGCCAATTTTGTCGACTTCTGGGTCTTGAATACCTCTTAGATAAAGACGTGAAGTTCAGTCCTCTGGTAGTACTCAAGGGTTTTACCAGTTTGAGGTGTTTTGGGCTCCTCTGTTACAACTTTATCTTGATTTCTTTACGGTGAAAGCTCCTTTATAGCTGAATTGAAAGTAGATTTCCATGCTTTACAAAATCATAGTATGAGGGAATTTGCCTTTGGAACGACAGACGTGATGAGCTTTGAAATTTAGTCGCTGAGAATTTTTTGAAAAAGTAATGACATCCAGTGAGCGTGGAAAATACCGAAGTTGTGGGTTTGTTCTTAACGTAAGCTTTTCTTTCCTCGCAGATTTCCACAAGACGGCACCGTATGTGGTTACTGGAAGTGTAGATCAAACAGTAAAAGTGTGGGAGTGCCGTTGATCGAATTCACATTTGACCCCTTTTTCCTCTGGATGCACTCAGATACCATGGTTACCCATTGAGCTCTGTTTAAATAAATATTGTCCTTTCATGTAAATTATTCTGGATGTAGATTGAGCTTATTAAATGTTACACACAAAGTATTCATGCATGGTGAATCCAAATTGTATACTGTAAATTTACATACGTTGTCTAGAAGTACCATAGGTTTAAGAACATGGGCTGGCATTGGTCACATCAGACCTGAGAAGGCAGAAGCTGGATAATTGAAATAGGGCACTTAACTGAATAGTTGACAGTGTCGTTCTATGTCGGATAATTATACCTGTTTTTCTTTCTGCTGTCTGTTGGTGCCTGAATTGGTGACCTCATTTGGGAAAAGTTTTGTAGGGCTCTTTCAGAAACGTGTATCTATGTAACATCACTTAAGTGTGCTTAATAAATCTTCTCTAAGAGTACTAGATAATAAGGCTGCAATTCAGAATCTTCTGAACCTTATATGTAATTAATGGAAAGTAATTAAACTCTGGAATATTTGTCATGAAACATTTGCCAAATCAACAGAATACACTTGTTTTGGCCTCCTATCACGCAAGGGGTGGTATATTTATATAACTAACTGTAAGCCGGAAATCAGACAACCAACCTTAGTAGCAGCTGATGTGATAAATGTATTTATTTTTTATTTGGTCATTCGATGGTTAAGCTGTGCTGTTAAACTAAGTTTAAATGGTTTTTTTGTTTGGGTTTTTTTTATGCTAGACGAACTTCCAGGAGGAGTTGTCCATCCCACTAGCACTTAGGGACCTGGTCTCTAGTAGAGCTTAATCTCCCCGAGGACTGCCACGGTACAGCTCGCTGTTGGCTTTCAGCGCGGCTCCTGGGGCACGGCAGGACCAGCGGCGCTTCCCTCGCTCGGTGCAGGAGGTTGGGGTGTACGAAGGTTTCTTGGTTTCTCTGGTGCCTCCTTGGATCCCTTTTGGCAGTGAGGTTGTCCCGACCTTGACAAGACGAGGTGGCTCGACTCAATCGCACTGTGGTTTGCGTGCTGAGACGTATCTTGGGGTGCAGCGTTGCAATGCTTTACAGCCAGCACTGCATGCCTTGAGAGTCAGGTTGTACTGGCAGGTACAGATCGATACAGGCTTCTAAAAGAAAAACAAAACGCCATCAAGGAAACAAAGTCCGTCTGTGGGAATGATGCTATCGAGTAAACGTTTAAACCCGAATCCCATCGGCAAACCTAGCCCAGCTCGGTTAGTAGTGCTTGTGTTGTTTGGTGTATACAATTTTTAATTTGCATATCCCTCAAGTTACATATTTTGCTCTGAAGTGATCGGAAATGCTACAAGTTAATATTTTAATCAGCATTTTTGTGACAAATTCCATTGTAGATAACTAAGAATTACAATACTTATCAAACTAACCAGGTCTTTTTAAAAATCCACTTTAAAATTTACGACATAATGAAGTACCAGTCTGATGTTTTAACAGGTGAAGTTGTGCTTTGTTTTATCCCTTTTGTTTAACGCGTGGCTTTTAAACCTGTCCCTTTTACCAAGGAGAGTCCTTGGCCCGCGCGGGTCGGCCGGAGGGCGCGCACCAACGCGGTGGCTCACGTCCTGCGGCCGCCCACAGAGGGATCCGTTCTTCCGCGGGGAGGAGGCGGACGTCAGCGCGGATCCTGGCGTGGGCCTGCCTCTGGGAGGGGGTGGAGGGAGCGGAGTTCTGACAGGGGTGTTTCGGAGCCAGTTGAAATTCAGGCTAATCTCTTAAATCCAGTGGTTTATGTACTTTTCAGTGTGTGTTTCGCAGTTAAGCATGCACGAATAAAGCATTTTTTCGTTTGTTAGCTGCTTGGACTGGAAAAATTTGCTGCTTTTTGTCCTGTTTGAGAATTCCAGATACACAAGTAGTGCATCTTCAAACTCCTCGGTGCATCTGCAGCTGTAAAGTAATAATCTGTTCAATTCCTGATAGGACCGATAAACTTTATTTAAGCATAAAGTAAACCACACTCGTGTACATAACTCGTAGCCATGACGAGAAATTAAAGGTACCTGTTCAGTGGAAGTTGTCTGCTGCATTTCCTCCCTGCAGCGAACAGCTCCTGCCAAGGACACGGGACTGACCAGTCACGGAAGCAGCGTTTGACTGCTGGGTGAAACCCTCCTGCGACGCAGTCGCGGCCGCCTCCTGTAACAAGCAGTGAACGATCTCAGGGATGGTCCCGGGCGGATCAAAAGCTAAAGCCCTGTGTAGACCCAGCAGTGAAAGCCGCGGCACCCAGGTGGGGGTGTGAGGGTTTCCTGCGGGGTCGCTCCGTCGCACTGCGCCGCGTTGAACCTGTCCCGCTGTGGCAGTGTCTCAGCTCATCCCGTGCCTTCCCTGTGACAGTGAGTACAACGGCGAGGTCGCTGGTTTGGATGACGACACAGATTTCTTGGGGGGTTTAGGAGGTTCACTGCTGCTCTCGCTCCCCTCGCTGAAACTGGCATCGCTTAAAAATAACCGTCTCTAGACGGCGATGCCAGATGGACCGCGCCGACCTGGTGGCGCGGGGGCAGCCCGACGTTGCGGTGCCGCCCTGGGGGAAGTGCCCAGGAAGCCGTAGATGCGTTCTGAAAAGTGCAGCGTTCGTTGTGGGTTAGGCGTGATCTGGAAGTTGATGTTTTAGAGCATCTTGCACTTTAGAAGATTTAAAAAAAAAAAAAACAAAAACAAAACCGTCCTGCTTTTGTGTGTGGTGTGACCAATGATGTGCCCGGGGCACGAGTGAAAAAGAAAACAAACCCTAGTTGCTAGCGAGTTGTCCCAGGGCTGTGGAGCACTGTAGTATTTCGAAAGCTTTGGCTATAGACTCACCGAGCCCAGTCCACTCACCCTGTCAGTACCCTGCTGCTCCTGTTCGCCGCCTCCTGTTTCACGTGAGCTGCCTGATGGCATCACTCTTAAATAGCTTTTGACTCGCCTGAAAGCTATTTAAAAGGAAAAGATTATACTTTGGTTTTGTAGACAGTGGTGGCTTGATAATCCTTTTAATGATCTGAATGTTAAAAATACCGAGTTGAGCGAAGGAGAAACGCACTTCGAAGGAGTTCCTTGCTGTCCAGCTGTACCTAAGTCCCGTGTACTTAAGGAAGTCGTACCGAGAATCTTCCAGCAAGAGCACGCCCGTCAGACGGCGGGGCTGCAGCGTTGGGAGCGGGGAAGGTTGAGTTGGATTTACAAGTCACGACTGGATTTAACTGGCCTTTTTATCTTTCCACTGTGTCATGTAAGTAGCTGCTTCCTTGTCCTACCTGTCCCTCAGGCTTCCCCCGGTTCGTTCGGAAGATAAGTTAGCAAAGCCTTCACCTCGTAGAGGCTCATCCTGGCGTTGGCATGAAGGCAAACGTGGGATTTTTTCATAAGAACGGTGTTAGAGGTTGCAATTGGAGAAAACGTTTCCCAGACTGTAGGAGTTAACTGAAGCTATTGACACAATTAAAAAAACAAAACAAAACAAAACAAAATCCGTACAAGAATGTATATAATACTGCTCTGTGTTTTACAGTAAGATTTGTTGCTCTCAGACTGTGTAAAACAAAATTTATTCATGTTTTCTGCATATTAAAAAAATCTTATTGTACCAATTGGTAAACTATTAAATGCATATAAAACTAGATGTGGTTTTGTTTCCTTGGATGCAAGAATTAAAACTATTTTGAAAAAAGCTACTGGTGTTTCACCCTTCGGATTTTGCTCCACACCTGCTTTTTTCTTCTCCCTGACTGCAGTGGCCATCGGGCTGCCCTGGGGGATCGCGGGGAGTTCTCGAGGCAGGCGGAGGCTGAGCTGGTCGATGGGGCCGAGGGCGATTTCATGAGCGGCTTTGTGGATGTTGGTGAGCGGGTTCTGAGGGGGCTGGGCCTGGGGGTCCTGCCTCTCCCCGGGCTCGGGGGGGTCCCTGGGGCCA